GAAGTAGATGTAGAGAGTGAATGAGAGAGAGAAAGGAGAAACAAACGTTTTCTTTTAAATACTGAATTCAATTCTCCAAAGCAGAAAACAAATACTCTTTGTTTTTTCAAACAATATGGTATTTAATAAAGCTATTTATATTTGTGTGCGAAGCATCAGTCATCGTTAGTCTAGAATTTGGTATTCTTGCGAATGTTAACCAGTTGACTCCATATTAATGACTTTAACATTAACGAATAGGGTTGCTGTAGTCGGACGATTGTGATGATCGAGCAAGCGAATGTGTCGGTAGCCTTCGAACAACAAGATTCGAGTTGGAGAAAAAGTTCATTCCAACTTACCTGGTTGCATCGAGAGAAATGGAATTGAATATTGACAAAGATCGGTATTGTTCTTATCACTATCTCGTACAGAGAATCGCAGAAGACACAGCTCAGGAATTACAATCGAAAACTGCATTAGATGGTTCCATATTGGATTCAAACCATTGTTGTGTACAGTGACTGTCTTCTGTTCGTTATGATCTTGAAAAAGAAACAGATAGTGGTTGAAAGAAGATACTTGTGATCTTACCACAGCGAACACCAAATATTTTCACTTTCACAGACGGTGAAACAGGCGTCGTATCGCGTTGATTGCGCTTGGGTAAATGTTGTGCACTGATAATCTAAAAGGCATTGACAACAGTTTTATTGGACTTTCAGAAAGGAAAAATCACGAACGCAAAGTTCCAATTTGAGTGGACGTCGTTGTGCAAGTAAATAAGCAGAGAAGCAACTATTTGGACTGAACGTGGTATTCGCTAGAACGAAAATTCACATTCTTCTCATCCTTTCTCTACTTCTTTATTTTCCAAACTCACGATCTCGTAAAATTGCCGGTTTGAGAACGTATCCACATTGCTTATTATCTGAAAATCGGCCATGATTCAGTGACATGGATATGTCATCTGTTTGAAAATTCAAGGCGACTATCAACAAGAAAGGTATGGTGCGGGAAAGCGAGTAATAAACTGATCTACAAACCCATTTGGACGCCAGTATTCCAAAGCGAAACTGCTTCAACATTACTCGAATCTTGTCGATAAGCAGATGGATAAACTCGGGTGATTAAACGTTGGTTGTAATGAATTAACTCAAGCGCATGATGTTCAACAGAAGCTAAAGCTTTCTTTTCAGCTAATGATGATGATTGATAATGCTTATCTTGAATTGAAAAATAAAAGAGTTTTCTATTCATGTAGTCTCATCATTACTCACAATATTTCGAAAATTTAAAGCCTTTGAATGTGGTGTTTTGACAAGCAACAAGACTAGCTAGTTCTATACAGACAGCCTAAGAAAAATGAAAGTGATTCTGTATTTAAAAAATATATTAAACGTCTTACAGAGATGTCCGGATCGAAAGATTCATCTTCATTGCTATAATCAACCGATAGATCATTCTTGGGTGACACACGTCCCTGCAACAATGCAAATAACCATCTGTTCTCAGAAAATCAGTCAATTTACACGAAGAATAATGCGTCCTTTGAGTTCTTCCGGTGAGGGCCATGTTGTATTCGCATTGGCTTCTTCGGCTGTGTAGATCGACGCTACAAATAATCAACGGCTAACAAAAAAAAAAGAAGTCAAGTTTGCTTCTTACATCCAAAAATATCAATTAAAAATCGTGCAACAATGATTTGCTGTTTATTTGAACAGTGATTCTCCAAATTGAGAAACAGTGGATATCTACAGAAACCGAGATTTAATGTATGGAAGAATGTTAGGAATTCATGAACATACGGCGAAGCACAGAAAGCAAATTGTTTTATTTGATTGAGAATTTCGCGTAGACTAGCATCTTTAACCAATGTAAAGCCATGTCGAATAACAGGATGTCCGTCAGGACCATCATGAAGATCCACTAGAAACAAAAAATGCCAGATTTGCTCGTACTTTTTTTTTGATTTCATTACATTCAACACATCGACAGCCCCGCTGCAATACTTGAACATACGATTCGCCTGACGAGTCACCGACAACTTGATTCGCAGAAAGGTATCTAAATGAATTATTGACTAATGATCTCCCCATTTACGTTTGTTGGCTGGCCACCTACGTGTTATGTGATGTATTGATCCAATAGTCCGTTAATGGTTTGGTCATATCCTGATAGATAGTACCGCAATGCTCCTGATTCATTAGTTGATATTCGTCGCTCAGTAACATTTCACGAAGGCCTAAGATTAACTTAATGATTATAAGTTCAATTATCGAGATGAAGGCGAGTTACCATCAACGCCCAGTTCGATACACTCTTTTCCTTCAGTTGATGGATCGAACTTTTTGATTAAATCAGCGACTTCGCTCGATGATAAGCTTTGCTAAAGTGTCAACAACAGATGAGAAAATCCGAAGAAAAAGTTGGTTCGCTATACTTTTTGTTCGTTCATTAAAAATTCTTTCACCTCTTCAATCGTCATATAATTGCAAGTGTTTGATCTTGCCGTCGGCGGGATGCCACTGAACGACGTAGCTGTCGTCCGAGGTCCGAATGCATTCATAAGTATAAACGATGAATCCATAACAGGAGTCACTGCAGAACAAATCATTGCGATTGTCGGATGACCGTTACAAGTGCAGAGATCGCAGGATTCGCTATAGCTAAAATAGAACTCCACCATCGTCAACTATTCAATATCGAATCTGTCAAACGTACGTGTGAATAATATGCATCAATTCTGGTCGATACGTTAGCATTTGATAAAACGTAATGAATTCTTGCGCACGAAGCTGTCCGCGAAGAATGGCGGCATTCAAACCAGCTTGCTATAGAATAGTTTTCACCATGTTTCAAGCAAAACTTTCATTGGAACTTACATTAAGATATTGTTCGAACTCATCCGTTGTTAGACGCACATTCAATTGTTCCAATAGGCGGTAAACTTCAGCTTTACAAAGAAGATTGTTTCGATCGCGATCGGCCGTGTTGAAAAGCCCTTCGAGCCATCTGTTAGTTGTTAGCGAAAGATTAATACATTTTCGAAGAAATATCGAACCTACCTATTGGTAATTTTTGTGTAGGGCTTTCCAATACTTTCTTGAACCAACATTTCCAGACCGCGTACCCAAATGTTACGGGTTTCCGTGTCACTTGCGAGAAGATCTAGACTTTTTCGACCACGACTGTGTAAAATCGAAAAAGCTAAATCACTCTAGAAGAAAGAGTGGATCAATATCATTTGTCTTCGTTTGATTCCCTACCTGTTGTTCGCGCACTTTGCCCAATTGAAGTAGTTTCAACCAGGTATCTGATCTAAGATCAGATCGTACTTGACAATCTTTCAACGGAACTATTTAAACAGCTAAAAACTAAACTAATACATGAAATGAATCGATTTACATTCGTTCGCCGAGTTTTGAAAGCGTTTTTTCGATGTATTATACCATAGACTGTGCAGTTTCGGGGAAACATAGAAAAATCCTTCAGTTCGAGATCCATCCGAGTTGAATTTGATGAAAGATGCACCTTCTTGAAGTTTATTGAGAATATAACTCTTCGATTCGATCATGGCAAAGTCAAATGCGTGATTATGACAAACGCTTGGATTAATATTTGCTAATTCAGATAGATAGAATCTAATTCTCGCATTTTTCTCTCGCACTAGTAGGCAGACTCATTTTTTTTCTCGACGCAAATTTGTCTTTTATCTTTGTTTGACTAAGACTAATATTGAATCAACTGAGACTATGTGAATGTGGAGAAAAAAGGTATGATTAAACATGTATACGATCCATTCTGTATAGAAAGACCGTTTTCAACATATCAATTATATTAGAAAAGATAATATTAACTTTGTCATCGATATCTGTTGACAGGTAAATTCATGATTTTCCGGCTACAAGATGATTTCTTTAGCAGACACGCGTTACGAAGCACGAAATTCGCGCATTTATTCAAAGTCACAAAATCCAAACAGATTATTTTTTACTGTTCATCTATTACTATCTTCTATGGGTTCAAGTTCAACAAAAACAAGTGCCAGTAAAGATTCCAACGTCGAAGCTCATGAACGATTCCAATTTCGATTTACCGATTGTTCCTGTCAATGTGAGGCTAGTAAAAAACGCGCCGAAGATGTTTACAGAGAAAACGACATTCCGCAAGCGGCATTTCTTTCTGCACTTATGACGCAGATAGGACAATCACAGTACGATTTACGTAAGCACTTTCAAAATGTTGATAAAGAGCTGGATAACGGAAGGAGAAACTTCAGGTTGTAATTGCGACTGTGGTGAAGGTGTGAAAATGGGTTTTCTTTTCGGAAACACGCCACCGAACGTTCAACAGCCAATAGATAGCAACCATTAGACTCGAATATTGAACAATGACAATAAATTAGAATATTTTACGTGCTGATATATTGGCACTAGTTGTAGTTAGCATGGCAATGAATGTGCTTCCGGTTTTTCTTCTCTTTGTCTGATTACACACGTGCTCAACATAGGAGACCTCATCGGTACCATTTTGAAATAGACAGATGGTGTCATATGTGTATTCATGGAAGTTCAAAGATAATATTGAAATATAATGAAATCAATGTATCTTTTCATTTTCTATTCATCAAGAAATGAGTCTAAATTTCTCAGACGATAGGAGTACTTTCGGACGTCGAGCACAAGAATGTTTCAGATTTTATCAATAACGAAGTCTGATCATCGGTGATGATATCATATTTGTTTGTCACATGCATAACTTTTGTCAACTAAACTCAGCTTGTTTGTATAATAATCATTCAAAGAACTGTTTGACGAACACAAGTCATTCATTCATTAAAGAGATTTTAATACTTTACAGAGGAACTCTACGAAATCATTAGTTCACATCTAAAAAGGCTCATTATGACGATGGTGTTTAGTCAAATAGGACTAATATATTCTCAGTATTTGGCGTAGACTTTTTTGGAGGCGTTTTTAATGAATTTTATCACACACAGTTGTCAATTGTTATTTTTATTAGGTATGTTGTTCATTTGTCTCATCAGTATCGTCATCTTCGTTGTCACTATCGAAATTTGAATCAAATCTTTCACGTGTTGTTCTTATCTGTGAACAATACTGCTGAAAAATAGATAACATATACTGTTCTTCTTCTTTATTTCCAGGAATGAATCTGAGTACACGTGAAAATTGATCAGTATATGAGCCGATAACACGTTCCTAGACAGAATGATTCATCATTACGCAAGTAAATATTTAGAGAAACAACATACGGGGATAATTGAATTTATGATTGATGACCAAGTCTGTTCGTCAATAGTTCCCGTAGAGGTGATTTCATGCAATCGCATTTTTCTCGGATTTATATTATTAATAGTGATAGGTAATGATTGATTCAATATTTGAAAAGGTGTTAAAACAATTTCTGGCAGAAGATTTCCCGGTTTATAAGATAAAACCGATACTGAACAATGTGGTGCCACATTACCCCAATGTCCTCGATCCCATGATGCACCGGACATCAGATATGTCACAATGCCACTGAGAAGATTTCCGTGCGAAAAAATCACATAATGCCTCGGCGCTCGAATCGAATTTGATGATAAAGAAAAGAAAAGACGTTGAATTTTATGCCAACTTTCTCGACAGTGTTCAAGTGAATGAACTTCTCCCCAGCATTTATAGCGTTTAAAAATTCTATCAAAAGATTGCCCAAGTCGATGCATTTCTTCTAAGCGCCGGCTAGTGATTGTACCTGTTTGATAAGCTCGTTTATAACCTGAATGAACTAGACAAGTGAAGAGTATTCGAGAGACAGATCGCGTCGATCTTTCCAATGTACGTGCAAGTGTATCTATCGTTTCAGCCGCAGCATATGCCTGTTAAACACATGTGTCGATCTATGATAATCGAACTGGAAACTTAAAGTAAAGACCTGCTGTTTGCCAAGTTCGATGAGATTATTATCTTGACTATTTGTGGATAAGTAGATTCCATGTCGAATTAAAAAGAAATAATGACAATTTGCCGATGACGATGCTGTCGGTGGTGCGACGCATCTCGATAATGTATTGTTAATCAGTTTCTTTTTATTCAAAGAGAGCAATTTCGAATATAAATATGTACATTCAATGAAAACTGATTGACAAAAAAACTAGAAATTGTTTTTTTTGTATTGTCATAGTTACACTATTCTCATTCTTCGTAGTTCATCGACATGAAACCAACATACTACTTCCGAGAATCCGTCCGATCGTGCCTCGGACTAGTTTATAGCTATATGTATATACCGAAAAAGCAACAGCAAATATAACAAAATACATTTCGGTATGAAGAAGAACTTCAATGGTTAATCCAAGATAATTAATTCTGGAATTTGCTGCTTCGATTTCTTTACAGTGGAGCAGTCATTGACTCGTGTTAACGGGCGTTTTCGAACAACATCGCTCGACGTAGTTGTATTGTTATTTGTTAATCTTTGTCTGTACAGTTTATAAATGATTTCATTTTCTGTTAGAGCTCCTTTACGTCGCGGCACCAAAGTCTGTACTTCATCACGTTCTTTGAGAATGCTCGGCGATGATCGCTCGTGTGTTGCTGGCTTTGGCGGTAATGAAGCTGTGGTCAAGATTGTGACCGTTCTATCGTCGAGTGAGATTTCTGAATTCGGCTCCGGCGCTAAATCAATTTCCATGATTTCACATTGACTCTCGGATGACTCTTCAGCATGAACGGCTGGTGGAGGATGTTCTTCACTCTCAGTTCCAGATTCGTTTTCAGTGGATTCGATATTGATTTCCGCATCAGGATCTGGTGTGATTTGTGAGAATTCTTCGAAGATCTACAAGTGATCATCAGAGTTAAGTGGAATTTTTGATAGTAGTAGCTTTTACGTACTTGTTCGGTTTTTATTATTGCTTCACGCTCGTTTTTGAGTAAAACTTGTGTAATTTCAGCATTGTCCAATGCAGGATCATTTTGTTCGATACTAAAAGCTAATCAAATGAGAAAAAGATTGGTTGTCGCTCGACTTCTCATACTTGAAATCTTCCGGAAGACGGCTACTCATAATATCATTAAAATCAGCCATACGTCGATCTTTAATTTGTTTTCCGATGATTTTAAAAGATTTTTCGGCTAAAGTTTTTCGTGATTCTTCACTAGAAAATTCAAATGCACTGATCAATATTGCATCAAGTCGAAATCTCTTACTTCAAATGCAGTTGATATTTTGTATTGGCGCTTTCGACTGTACTGAGAACATCACTGAACGATGGGAAATGCTTCGATTGGTTAACCATATCTTCCAAATCTTTAGTAATCAATGGATGATCACTTGAAGCATCTAGTCATAAAAATACAATGAGGAATAGAAACGCTTTCAATCGTAATTCGAATCATTACTAGTCAGTACAATTGGTCGATGTAGAATTCGTTCAGTCGATGACGATTGTTTTTTCAGCTTAGCAAGTTTTTCATACATCTAAATATTGTATTTCTCAATGGGACCAAAGTGTTGCTCTTTTAATTTCCTACTTCGCATGCTTGTTTCTTCAGATTGGATTCGACAGTGTACAGATCACAATGAGCCATTTCTTCGAGTGACATGTCTTTTTCTTCCAATTCACGAATCATTCGAGAAATGCGAATTAGACGTCGTTCTAACTTCTTGATCTTTCGTTCGTGTGTTGAATCGATCGTTTCAGGTGGAATGTCAACCGTGAGAGAAATCTCAGGTTCTGATGAGATGATGCAACATTGATCAAGAAGATACTCCAGTGTTTCTTGAATTTCTATCATCGAAAATCTATGTTCAATTTTTGACTGAGTTAGCTGTGTCGTTGTATCGTTCTCTGCGTTTGGTTCGGCAGACACTGTAGTAGACGATGAAACATTGGACGGCTGAAAGGTTGTTCTGAACATAAAAGCAAACCAAATTCGATGACAAATAAACTAAATCTCTAGCAGAGACGTACCTTGTTAGTTTGATCGAATGTCGCTTCAATTGTTCATCGAAGGAAGCTAGTAGCGTAAAATATTTGGTTGATTTTTTATTCTCCACAAATGCATTTTGTATCTGATTCAAAGATGTTGTAAATTCGTTCGAACACAAGTAGTCCAATGTTGCTGCATTGAAATGGCGTTGAAGTTTATTTCGAATAATATTAACTTCATTTTCACACGTTAAAATATTGCTAATCGTCGAAAGAAACTAGATAGAACAGAACATACAACAGAATTCAGTTTTCCAAAACACTACAAACCTTTTCAAATTGAAGTGTGACAGTGTCAAACTTTATCGCTGTCATCTACAATACACAAAAAATAGATACACTTGATTGTATTTCTATCGATTTAAGTATCATCTTCCATAGCATCATTATTATCCTCCTCTGTGTCGCTTTCAATTCCGTATTCTCCAACTTTTTCAATAAATTCATCTATTGCTTCATCAGGAAATTCATGTTGTGCACGAAAGCCGAGTTTCACAGTTTGGGTGGTGGCTTGCGTATCACCGGTTAAATCTTTTGCTTGCTCGAAGATTAAATAGCCTTCTTTAGGAAAATCTGTTCGAATTAATTTTTGAACATCACCGAAGAGTTTATGTTGATTCGTTGCCAACCGTGTTGATTCTTCGTTACGAATGGAAAGTGTTTCACTGAGTATCGCCCAGAAATCAACTGCGGACATTTCACCACCTGCACGTTTTAAACAAGCAACAATGATCATTAATAGAGCATATTTCGAATATTGACTAGAATTTGCTAATGGTCGACGTTCGAGTGGACCTTGTTTTAATGCATTGACCAAGATATAGCCTAGACACAAAAAAAACAATAATGTTTCAAGATGAATTGTACTCTTCTGATGCTATATGTTAACTGACCGTCATGTTTTTCGTCCGAGACGAGCTTGTAACCGAATGTCTCATTCAAAGCTTTCACAACTTGTTTATGTACAGCAGGAAACACTTTTCTTCCATCGCAGCCCATTGGACGAAGTACTGTGTTGATCCAATCGAGTCGTTTGATAACCTGAGGTTTACAGCTATGAACTAGTATGTATTGAATCGATGCACTGATGATTGGTTTTAGATTAACATCATCATCGAAAGTCGTGTCATGATCCACAGGATCGTCCGAATCACTTACATTCATTGACATTTGCGAGGCCGCAACAGCCTGCGAGGATTTTTTCGGTGGCATGATAAACCTATCTTGAATTTGGATATAACCGTCACTTCAATTGTTCGTTATTTTATTTCACGAGACAGACGAAATTTATTCGCAGCTTGAAACGTACCAATCGATGAAGGAGTCAGAGATGGCATACCGTCTCAATCAAAACGTATGCTGACATCTTTTGATTATCATCAACGGTTGATGAGATGCTATCAACCAATTAATCACAGTTGTTTATTTGTTCTGTCCAGTGACTCACAAATCTATCTTTTCGGACTTTCTTTTTCTTTTCTTTCAAATCAAAAGTTTTCTTTTTAAGATTTCAAGTTTTTTTAGAACTTTCTGAGATTTTCTAACTTGTTAATCATGGTCGAAATCAATGACGTGGAAATGAAAGAAGCGGATCAAGCAACGACGTCAAACACGACAGCGACATCCAAAGATGCCAATACATTAACATTAGATGGTGAGTTCAAATCAGACTTCCGTTTATCTTCATGTATTTCTTTTCACTAGACATTAAGGAACAAGTTCGAACAATTGAGAAAGCTGTGAATTCCAAGGAACCTCGATATATCCTGCGCGTTTTACGAGCGCTTGCTTCAACACGAAAGCGTCTAAATGAAGAGATCGTTCGCCGTTTAATATCGTTCTACTATGGATCAAATCCAAGTGAGAAAGAAAGTCTTCTCGGATTCGCTTACTCTGCTGCTCAAGTTTGTAACACTTCGTTAGAATAAACAAATCACTAAGGTTTCTGACTTTTCAGCCAATGGACGTTGACATGGAAAAACCAAGTACGCCTGCAGCGACTGGCGAAAAGCAAACAACATCTCGGCCACAAACTTCACGAACACGTGCAGTTGCAATACCAGAAGTTGATTTATACATACATTTAATTGTCCTTCTCTATCTAATTGATCGGAATGCATTGAAGCCAGTAGGAAATTTTTCATGTTAAAATTCCACTCTGTTTATACCTTTTCTTCTCTCACTCTCTCCTAGGCCTTAGACTGTGCCAAGCGACTTGTGGACAAAACTAGCGTTCTCAATCGTCGAACACTTGATCTTCTCGCTGCTAAATGTTACTTTTACTACGCACGCATATTTGAATTGAACAACATGCTTGACACTATTCGACCGTACGTATCAGAATTGTTTTTCAATTTACACTAGTACATACCTTCCATCTGTAGATTTTTACACAGTCGATTACGTACAGCAACATTGCGCAATGATTTCGAAGGCACCGCCGTCTTAATCAATCTCTTGTTGCGAAATTATCTTCATTACAATTTGTACAGTCAAGCGCAAAAGCTTGTACTTAAATCCGTCTTTCCTGATCATGCATCGAATAATGAATGGGCAAGATATTTGTACTATCTCGGTAAGAATACTCATTGAAAAAAAAAGAACGATATCTATATGTTGCATCTAGGTCGTATACGTGCCATGCAATTGGAATACACCAAAGCTCATCAACACTTATTAACAGCGACACGTAAAGCACCGCAACAAACAGCAATTGGCTTTCGACAGGATGTAAGTGAATCAGATACCATCTATTTGGAAGATTTGCTCTGTCTGTTTAGGCTCACAAATTTCTGATCACCGTCGAATTACTTTTGGGAGATATTCCTGATAAAGCAACGTTTGAAAATCCTCAGTTAAAACGCTCATTAGATCCGTACTATCAATTAACGTTAGGTATGCTTGGCTTTTGAATAACTGCTGAGAAATATCTCGTTTTTGTTTAGCTGTGCGTGCTGGAGATCTAGGTCGATTCAAAGAAGTTCTCGATGCATTTTCCGATCGTTTCCAACGAGAAAAAACTTGGTCACTTATAATTCGGTTAGTAACATTTTCCTCAAAAAGAAAAGAAAATCATTTCATTCTTCGAATATTCTAGGTTGAGACACAATGTCATCAAAACCGGCATTAAAATGATTAGTTTATCGTACGCAAAGATTTCATTTAGCGATGTTGCACGAAAGTTACAACTTGATTCGCCTGAAGATGCGGAATACATCGTTGCTAAAGTAAATGACACATTCAAATCGAAATGTTTGTTTGAGTCGAACCATTTAGGCAATTCGTGATGGCGTCATCGAAGCAACAATCAATCACGAACAAGGTTATGTTCAATCGCGTGAAATAGTCGATGTTTACACGACACGCGAACCTATGAATGCGTTTCATCAACGTATCGAATTCTGTCTTAAAGTTCATAATGAAGCCGTCAAAGCCATGCGTTATCCACCCAAGAAATACAATGAAGATTTAGAAACAGCTCAAGTATGTTGATTGGATTATGTTGCAAGAAGACGTTGACTGATTTGCTTTTTCGTTGAATAGGAACGCCGCGAACGTGAACAAGAAGAATTAGAATATGCCAAAGAAATGGCTGATGATGAGGATGATTTTTAAAATCCATTCGTTGAAAACGAAATCAAGGGAATTTGAGACATTGTTGCGTATTTACATTTGTTACTTTTATTTTCTTCTTTCCCCTCTTTCATCTTAATAAAACAAGAATCAAGATTCTCAAAAGTTGATTATTCCTTAATAATTTCTATGCTTACTTCTGTTCTATTTCAGATGATGATTAGGCGGAAGAATTTCCTTCAGTATAAACTCTCAAGATGATGTTCTTTCGTCGACATGTTCAGAAAACTATCCCAATCAATAATAGTACACCTTCTTCATCTATTCCATTATCTCTTGACACGAGCAACATAGCTGAAGATGAACGGGAATCAGCTGCAGAGAATGAACTATCGACAACACCTACAGCTTTGTCGCCGATAGAGAAAACGACCATTTTTTCCAATGAAACCGACTCACAGACAACAACAACATCTACGATCGAACATCTAGCTGTAAAACACCCTGGACTTCTACGTTTATTTGATTCAACCGTATGTACCGTATCTATAATCATCTCATATCTATTCAGTTCCAAAGAGCCAATTGTACAACAATTCCTTGGAAGAAAATTATTTGATTATCCACAAGAAGAACTTGATTTCTATTTACCACAATTAATCAATATGTACATTCATATTCAATCCATTTCAACTGTTATTCATGAGTATATAACAACAAGGTACGAATATTTCTTTTCATACTTGAATATAACTATGATCGCGTTTCGTTTAGATGTTCTCAAAGTGTTGACTTTTCCCTACAATGCGCCTGGCTACTCGATGCATATATCGCAGATCAGATGAAGGTGGCCAAACCAAATGCAGCCGTTCGACTTTTATTCGATATTCTATATGAAAAATACAAACCCAAGATAACCTACAATCCAACTACGATTAATAATTCAAGCAATAATCATCATCGATTGGACGAAGACGAAAACGAGAATGTTAATAATCAAGAGGACGAGATGAAAGCTGAACGCGCATTAAGTCAAGATAATCTGATGTTACAAATCAGTCGGAAGAAAGGACACCAAAAATCACGTAGTGATGTGTCAGGTATGACGTTTCTCGAACTCTTTTCTTTGCACGAATCGCTATGACTTATAGGACTTATGCTAACGCGAAATAGTAAGTTGTGTGAGAAGATGTTTCCACTAACAATAGTTGCTCTACTCACTTATCACATAGATTTTCGAGTTTCTGTTCAATTGATTTCGCTTTTGCTTCTTATTAGAACGATCATTGCCTATTATGAATGGTGAAGCAAGTAAACAACATCGTCGACAGCCAAAACTATGTTTAGGAGATCTCAATTCAGGTCGTGCATTTGACAACAATTGCATGTGTTTTGAAAATGTTAATGGTTTTCGTCGACGAGAATGCACATGCAATGTAAATCTTATCTTTTGATGACGATGGTACTGAATGTCTCTATTTGTTGTAGGCGCCTAAATTAGCACCAGTCAGAGAATTTATGACAGCATTGATCAATATTGGAAAGAAATTACCACATGTGCCAACAAAAGAAAAGAAAAGTAAGGATTTCGATTGAGATTAAAGACGAAACGATTGAAAACTTGCCTTGATCTAGCGCAAAATTTGATTGGTGAAATGAAACGAATGAATATGAACTTGCCAGCGCGTGTCTGGATTCCATTCTACAAATTTCCACATCATGTTGTGCGAATTGCATATACCGAGTCAACTGTACTAAACTCTCGTGATCGCGTACGTACTTCTCCTTTCATAAATGATCGTTTTCTGATGATATTCTCCTCTATAATAGGCTCCCTATATCGTGTATATCGAAATTGTTCTTTGCGACAATATTTTCGCATCTCCGTTACCCATCAAACAGAATGATTCGAAACTACGCTCAACACGCTCAGAGGAAAACCTCACTCATCATATCAATAATCATCAAATTCCATCAACCAGCGGAATGATTGGTAGTTATCTCAATTGTGAAACTCAAAGTTTAGATTCCGAACTGATCGATTCTTATCGATCATTTGTTAACAGTGAAGATGCAGATATTTGGTCGACCAGTGATGATGTTACTGGAGACGATGCACAATTGCCACATCAATCTGTGCCGAGACGTAATGGTTTGATAGGTTATCGTTCAAATCATGCGATGAATATCAATCCTGAAACTCAGTCCATACGTTCGACGGAGAGTCATTTGAGTCAACAAGAAATTATGCCATCAGATATTCGAAAGCGACTGACCGAGGTGAAAACAACTGGACCTATTCTATTCGAAGTAAGTTGAAAGAATATTTCGCTAATTCATAAACACATCACATGTTATAGCGTGATCCTGATGATCCATCAGCAGCAGCATTGAAAGAACCATGGGATAAGAAAGAACAGCGAATCCGCTCGGCGTCACCGTACGGTCATCTGAGAAATTGGAGATTAGTTGCTGCTATCGTTAAATGCGGTGACGATCTTCGTCATGAATTACTCGCGTATCAGTTCATGGTTCGTCTGAAAGAAATTTGGTTATGTGAACATGTACCGGTGTTTGTTCGTCCAATAAATATTCTTGTTTTATCAAATAACAGCGGTAAGATTTTTCTCACAATCTGA